TAGGGGCTCCGTAGATAACCAGCAGCTTCGGATCGTATTGACTTCCATTGTATTTTTTTTTTAAAATAAAGTCATAGAGGTTTGGAACAACATGAAGGTGACTAAATGACAAAATTCACATCTTTTCATGGTATGGTCACAGTTAATATTGTTCAGGTGATTTTTCACATTAAAAATCCAGTTATTTCAATAGGAATCCAAGTGATCTGGAATTTCATGTGAGAGTAAAAGATTTCCCTATGCACATTCTGCAATGGGTTCAACTCGGTCATGTGTATTAACTAAAGGTTGACCAACTGATCGGATTTGCAGATTAATTGGCACTGATAACCGATTGCTGGAACAACTGGTCATTGGCAAAAAAAAACGATAGTTTTTCTGGGTTGTATCAGTTGCTGGAGTGGCTGTACTGTACGTTTTCATATCATTACAGTAATTAATTTGTTGACTAGATGCTGCAAGTCCTACCCAATGTTTTTAATGTCATGATAGTTTATATCCAGTTGCTCACTTTTATGCATTTGTTATCCAGCAAAGTTGCATATTTAAAGCTAATGATATGGTATTTTGATATGTTCATGCAGCCGACAGAAACAAACCAGAAATGCATCCCATTTCAGTTCTCTTTTTATTGTCACTGTAATATATATTTTGCTATTTTTATTAGATAATCATCAAGTGTTCTAAATAAGAAGCAAATAAAGTGGGAGAGAATACATAGAATATAGCCTACTTAATGTAATTTGCCAGTGAAATTTCACTGAAATTTCTCTAAACTGACAGCACCTTAATTGTGAACACTCCATGAAAAGCCTATTTAGGGGGTGCTCCGAGTTTAATTGCATATTTTACTATGGGAAAAAAAAAATAATAATAAAAATCTCTGGCCACATCAGGCTGTTATTGACCAGCCACTGTGGTTAATGAAGTTAATTTCATAGTCTGCTGATACAGTTAGACACTATTCGAGTAAGAACGTCTAATGGCGACCACAGCACTGCGACCTTCAGTCAGTGATTTAATTGCTGTCAGTATGACTTGAATGCTTTTGCATTTGTTTCTTATAGGCTATTTGTTCTACAGTTTTTTTTATTATTTATTTATTATTATTTATTATTTATAATAACAAAGATAAAATAAAAATAGCTATATTGTGATTATTAATTATTATTAAGAAATAACCTGCAGGAAAAGATGCAATGGTGTTAGGTGGTTTTGCTTTGGAACTTTCAGAAAACTTTAACTTGATTTTTCTCAAAATTGATATTGCTGACTCCATCGACATCATTTTGAAGGTCTTTTAATGGAGAATGTGAAAATAAAAATATAGTTGCATGTAATTATACACTCTTCACTTATTACTAGGAGTGCTGAAATTAATCGTTGCCGAAATAGAATCGTTGCTGTCAAGAAAAAAAGAGAAAAAAATCAGCAGTTGTGAGTGGGGTGGCCAACCCTAGCTCCGCCTCTGCGTTAACTGCGTTAAATATTTTTAACACTGTTAAACTGAAAAAATTAATCACCTTCATTAACGCACTAATTTTGACAGCACTAATATATAAGTTGACAAGTAGACTTAATTTTCCAGATCACCCAGCCTTAATAGAAACCCAGGACACTTACTGATTCATTGTGTAAATCAAGTGTAAAAAAATAAATAAAAGCATACACAAAAAAGGCATAATCTAGAATGCAAACAGATTACATAATATTTCACTGTGTTATGAGTGCTAATTTAATTAGTTATTTATGTAAGCTTCAAAAAAGGTAAAGAAATAATAAATTCACTGAGGTTTTGGAAACTTTGGAGTTCAGAACACAAACAGATAACATAATATTTCACTGTGTTATGAGTGCTAATTTAATTAATTATATATGTAAGCTTCAGAAAAGGTAAAGAAATTATAAATTCACTGAGGTTTTAGAAACTTTGGAGTTCAGTGTCAGAAACTGCATTCATAACACACTATTTTTGCCTGTTTCTACAGCTTGACTCATGCTATAGTTTGACAGGCTGAGACCTACATCACGCTAGACATCAAACCCGCTGTCAGGTTTCTGACAGCTGGGAGAGGCCTAAGATGAAGCAGCGAGGGGAGGTCTTTTTTGAGGCCCAGTAAAAGAGCATCTCTCAGACTGCCTGACGCACACAGCGCGGCTGGCGGTGTGTAGGCCGAGGCAGGGACAGCTATGATTCACAGGCTCAGTGAGTTGCCGTGGGATTCTGGGGTTACATCCGCAGGGCTAGGCAACACTTCTCAGTCAGGTGGGTGGATGAAAATACAGCCATCATGCGCTCTGTGGTGCAGCCTGATGCTTTAGAAGCTGCGCTGGAGGAATCGCTCACATTTAACCGCAGGGAACTGGCAGGGAACTAACGCACTTGAGCTATGATGCATAAATAACAACAGGTAATACTCTAATTTCTGCACAATTTCTTTTGAACATCTCTGCCTGCTCAGTAGGGTTGGGTACCGAACTCGGTACTTTTAAGGGTACCGAGCGAATTGCGTCGGTACTACCGAGTACCGATTCACGTTAAATCAATCGGTGCCAGATTTCGGTACCTGAGAAAGCATCTGGGCGCATACGCTACAGAGAGAGAAAGAGAAACCCTGTGACGTGATGTCTCTGAGAGTCACTTCGCGAGAATTTTACTATTTCATTTGAGAAAACTAGCATCATCATACTGTACACACAAAAAAATAAAAAAAATACTGTATACACACAGAAACTTCATGGCAACCTGTCAAAATAAAAGTACGGTTTAACATGTAACAGAAATATTTTACTCTTGTATTACTTTTGTACAGTATAATGTACATCTTTAAATATTCAATTTTCTATCAAATTTAAATAAAACAATTAAATGATAAAAATAAATATTACAACCAGATTAATCACTTAATTGTAGAAAAAAATACAATTATTAGCCTATTAAAAATGTTTTAAAGGAATATTCACACAAATTTTTCTTCCATGTATTAATTTCAACAGTAAACCTCAGTTTGAATGCGGACAGGAGGAGAGTTCAGCCTCACTGGAGATGCGCGATCGACAAAATTTAAACTCGTGATTTCAAATTATGCTGCGCTTTATGCATTTGC